GGTCGGTGGCACGAGCACGAGCACGAGCACGGAAGACGTGGAAGGATTAAGGGAGTTGGAAGTGCTGTTCGGGTTGAACGGCATAATGGAGGACCTGGATGGATCGTTCAACGACTCTTTCAACGAGAGTCTATTGTTCCCGTGCAACGGTAGCCTGTGCAACGAGACGTACGTGGTGCTCGGGGAGAGCCTGTACCCGTCCGGGTACACGATCCTTCAAATAGTTCTGGCGTCCGTCCTTGTCACGCTGTTGATGATCGTGATCGTGGTCGGAAACATGCTTGTGATAATCGCGATCGCGACCGAGAAGGCGCTCAAGAACATACAGAATTGGTTCATAGCTAGTCTGGCGGTGGCCGATTTCTTCCTAGGCCTGGTGATCATGCCTTTCTCGTTGGCAAACGAGATCATGGGATATTGGATCTTCGGGTACTGGTGGTGCGACATTTACTCGGCCATGGACGTGTTGCTGTGCACGGCGAGCATCATGAACTTGTGTCTGATAAGCTTGGACAGGTACTGGAGCATCACGCAGGCGGTGGATTATCTGAAGAAGAGAACTCCCGCAAGAGCGGCACTCATGATCGCGCTTGTGTGGCTCCTGTCCGCCCTCGTTTGCATCCCTCCCCTCCTCGGATGGAAGAGACCCACGCCGGCTGAAGAGTATCCCAAGTGTAAGGTAAGAGATCTTCTTTGAGATTGAAAATATTTACGAATATTTCGTACCCGATCCCGATAATACGAAAGCGATTATTATGTATGTATCACTTTTGCTACTTTTTGCAAAAGGGAATCGATTATTTCGTAATTATGTAAAGAAGATAGACTAACTTTTTAATTATATTAATTATATTATTAATGATATTTCGCAAACCAGATCTACAACCAATACGATTCTACTTGGAAAAACGACGCTAACGATAGCATGTTATAAAAGAAGTAGACATCGTGGCCTAGCAATGAACAATCGCGAATATCTCGATATAAATTTGTCTGTTATCAATTGCGGTACGGTAAAATGGGCGGCGATCTTATCTTGGACGAGATGCAGCTGCTCGAGTCAGAGTTCCCAGGAGTGGTTAATGTTTAAAACACAATTTACTCGGTCGTATTTGAGCGAACAGGGGCGGGTAATACAAGAGTTAATTATTTCCTCGAAACTGGTTGTTAGGTGGAGTAGATGGTCGTTGCAGATGACAGATTACGAGGTCGTGTTTCGTCTTCCAGACGAGGGATTAAATCGGTCGTAACGAGGAGAGTAACGCTCGAGGGAAAAGAGAGAAAAAGAGAGAGAGAGAGAGAGAAAAGAAAAAAAAGTAGAAAGAAATTATATCTCGTTTCGAGGAATAAGTTTATCGGTAATTTATTTATCTCGATGATAACCCGATGGATCGTGGTTACTTGACCGTGTAAACCGTCCATTTATCGCCGATGAATCCACTCCACTCGTGCACTTGATTACTTCCAACGGATGGATTCATTGTTAGATCGGCAGAAACGATGGGAGAGGATAGGGAGAAATTCAGATTTATCGGATCAACTCGAGTCCCTTTTACGCGATCGCGCACGGTTAACGGGTTGCATTGTGAACCATCTTGAAATTCTACCTACCTTTCGATGTCGAGCTCCTCTCCTTGTTATCGTCTTTTACAGCTATCTGTTACGCCATCTACTCGCGTCTCGAGCGCTAAATTAACGTAGACGAATTTCCGTCGCGTCCTTAATTCCTTTCTTTTTCCAACGAGCGAAACATCTCGAAAATAAGATAGTTAAAAAGACGAGCAAGATATTTATTTCTCAAAATAATTCCATAGAAGAACAATTTGCACGATTTGATTGATTTTTTCGTAAATCAAAAATCTGCGATAGATCGCGAAATATATTCATGGAAATTTGTAGAACATTTCGAGGAAATAATATATGCACAAAAATTGATTCATAAACTTTCTTTGAGATTGTTATCAATGTTAAGAAACGAATTCGAAACGAAACCGCGTTTCATCATTTTCACCATCGGCCAAAGCCACGTGAAAAACTTCAGACAGCGTGAAAAGGAGAAATTCTATCCGCAACACGGATAGAATTTTCTCGCGTCCTGCCGCGATGACAGCCGCACAATCGCCTGCCCAGCCGGCTTTTATGCATCGGCGAAACTCACACCTCGATCCTCGATCCTCCTCGAAACCCGCTTATATCTGCCTCCACGAAACGCCCCCTCCCGCGAGATTGCAATTCTACGCCCGACACTTTTGGTCGTCGACTTTGACTCCTCCCCCCATTCCCAATTTCTTTCTTCCATTTCTGTTTCCCTTCCCTGAAACGTTTCCCCCCTTCCCCCCTCTCCCCCGTTGTGACGGCACAATTCGGCAACCATTGTCAGGATCCAATCGAACTTCCAACTCGAAACGCGAATTTTCGCCGACAGGAGGCCCAAGGTTTATCGTTCCCATTGATCACGTTGTTTGCTGCTAATTGAAAGCAGTTACGTCACTTGCGCGCGCGCGCACGGTTTAATTAAGCCTCGCGTACACTCCGCTTGTTGGGAAACTTTTTAACGGGGTTGAATTTTTGAAGGCCTTCGAAAATCGGCCATTATTAATTATACGAGAGATCGAGGTTCGATGATTCTAATAATGGAGAGGAAAAAAGGTCTCTGTTCCTGCAGCGAAATTTTGTGTACGCGTTGTAATACGATTTAAACTTTTTTGAAAAGTATTTTTTTTAAAAAGAAATATTTGCTGCCGAGTTTTCTCGAGAATGGATGTGAGATGGAAGGGAGAAATGTCGAGTTGCGGTTGACCTTTCGTCTGTGAAGAAATTTGATCTTTGGATGAAGGTGTATATATATATATNATCGTTTTGTCGAGACCCATTCATCCACCTTTATGGATTATTCCTTTTAAGG